ATTTCCTTTATTTATTTTATTTCATTTATTTAAAATTATTTCATTCTATTGAATGTATTGTTCATGAGGTATTTCTGTATCTCTGTGTTTTGTTCTTATTTTATTCTTATTTTATTAGATCTTTCATATTCATAATTATCTTTTACCATTATTTCACATGCAATTATTATACTTTGTTCTTTTAATATTCATACTGTTTCTTTATTAAATAATATATTTATTGTTATTATTACTGCAATTACTTTCATTTGATTTTATTAATTTGTTTTATTTTGAATTCGAGAGTTTTATATATTTCAAGTTTATTAGTAAATGCCAAACTTATCTTTTTAACACTTCATTTTATCATTTATTCATATTTACTTCTATAAATATATTGATAATTATGAAATTTTCACTTTTATTAATTATTTGTTGATTCAATAAATTGATCACTTCTTTATTTTATATTCTTATTTTGAATTTACTTATTTCTTTTTTATTAAATATTATTTTCATTTTATTCTCTTTTGTTTTATTCTCCATTTCATTTTCATTCATTATATTTATTTGATATTTTAATTTATCACATCTCTAGATATATTCCCTTATTATTTCATGTTTTTCAATTTGTTCATTCTTATTTATAATATAATTTAATAATATATATTCATTTATTGATATTTTATCATTATAAATATTACATCATTTTAAATTAATATTTTATGTAATTAATATTTTCATAATTAATACAAATATAATAATTTCTTAGATTAATTTTAATTATTTATATTAATTTCTTTTTATATTAATATTCTTTAATATTCTATTTGTTAATTTCATATCATTTTATTTTCAATTTATTTTATTAAATGAATAATTACATTATTTAATTTTAATTTATTAATATTCATTAAATTTAATATTTAAATATTTTATTATTATAGATGATTCATTCTTATTTTGTGATAATAAATATATTTCATTAAATTCATTTTATTAATTCTTTATCATACACTTTATAAATCACTTCAATTTCATTTCTATCATTTTTATCATTCTTTATTCATTATCTTCAATCATATACATATATCTATA